AATTATCTTGAAGCATTTAAGCCTTTTCTTCAGGTGGCAGTAGTCCATAGGAACTTGGGTTGGGAACCGGAGGGTCGCCAGTTCAAGTCCCTATCCAGACCAGAGTTGGGTATAACACGTTACAAAATACTTTTTGCAGTAACAAGTAACCTAACGCATTAGTTTGCTGTTTGAGTAATCAAATACTTAAGTACATTTTCAAACAAGCCATCATTTACTTCAGTTACTTTTAGAACGCTGGTCCTTCAGCTCCGAAACAGCAACGACTGTCGTTTGGTTCTAATAACGGAGTTAAACCTATCAGTCCCAAAGAAGTCATGAAGCTTGTGGCTAGCTACGTGGAGAAGAAATGCTGCTGTTGTCTACGGTGGAGTCTAAAACATTCCGCAGGATTGCTAGTAAAATCCCCACGACTGAATAGATGGAGGAGGACTCGCTGGCAGACAGGCCTGACTCAGGACTTGCATTATGCCTGGTACACACTACACAACTTTTCTGCCCGTTCTGAAAGTCACTATGTCACATTACACGATTGTGGAGTCATGAAATCGTGCCGTGACTTGGCCGACAGACATGACACACTACACGATGGTACTCACCAATTATCCCCGGTCGTCTTTCAAGGTGTGTGTGATGTCATCGGGTTATTCTTGTCCTATTTTTATTACTTTTACTATAAATATTGTTATAGTCACCTAAAAGCATCAGCAGATGGCAGGAGCTTCATTTGAAGAACCGTATGCAAACATACAGTACAAGCTACTGTATCCTCCACAACCAAGTTCCTACAAATGTTTCACTGTGTGGCAACATCCCTACAGGAAATATTAAAAACACTGGGGTGTTGTTGTCATACAGTTGTCTACGGCAGCAGATTGTTCTGTGTTTCTACTGGTCAAAGTGACGGCTGTGATGGGAGAATTGGATCTCAGTGAAGGGCAAGTGGTCCGTAACTTGTACTTGAGTTACTTTTGTCAGGGAGTAATGTTGGAAGTACTTTAAAAGTACTTGAGTTACTTTACTCAGGGAGTAACGCAGTAAAGTAAGTGGTTACTTTTCAAAAAAGTAACGCAGTAAAGTAATTTGATTACTTTTTAAGTAACCCTTACCCAACTCTGATCTGGACCAAATATGGAGTGTGGACCTCCTGGGCACTGCTGAAGTGCCCTTGAGCAAGGCACCGAACCCTCCTCAACCATTCAGGGTGCCTGCCCAGGGCAGCCCCCTCACTCTGACATCTCTCCACTTTGTGCATGTATAGGTCCTGTTTGTGCAAGTGTGTGTATTTCGGACCTGTGTGTTAATGACAACGGAGTGGAAAAAATTGAATTTCCCCTCAGGGGAATAATAAAGTGTATTGATAAGCTTGATAAATGTTGGCTACTTCTAGATAGCTACCAGTGCTAATAATTGTTTGCTAACTCACTAATAAAAAACTAACTGAATGATTCTTCCCACAAATCCCTCATCATCACAGCTCTTTATGACAACTTTATATAAATGCATAGGTCACTATTAGCCAGTGACAAAAAAAATCACTGTACCTTAATTTAGTGGAGCATTGCCATTTCATATGTGTCATGCATGTGTTGAGAGTAGATTTAGTGCCATCTGTCGGTTAGGAAAGCAATTTAGGAAATTAAGAGCCATCCATTCACAATATTTTTAGGAAACTCAGCGGCCCAAAATACCACCCTGCAGAAAGTCTTCTTTACAAGTCCATTTTTTGTTGTTGCCAGTTTTGGCTGAAATTTCAGATGCATACAGTTTTTTTCATCACTTATAATAATCATTGTATTTATTAGTTATTTTAAAAAGAGCCAAATTTCTCGTGTGATAGAATGCTTTTCCAGCAGAAAGTTGACAAAGCCAAAGCTACATTATGGTTGACGCTCTGACACAGGCCTACAGGACAAACCAATTATCTAATAAACATATGGAGCATGAACAGATATCTCTTTGTCAGGACTTACTGGAGAGTAACATCTACACGCACAGAATACTGGACTTAAGTTGTATTCAATGTGAACATGAATGCTATTGTTGCTCTGTCTCTGCTAATTTAAAATGTAGCTGATAATGCTTTGTGGCAAACACCCATAACAATTTTATATGGTTTAAATATGTCACATTTCCCTCTTATTTTACTGCTCTCAAGTGGCCAGAAAAAATAATGATATTTGAATGTAATTTAACCTAGCATGTCTACAACCACAGCTGTAAAAGTAAAATATGTGCAAGTTACAAAAACAGTACTGCTGCCATTTTACAGTTCATTTAGAAGAAATTAATGGTTTCTGCTTTGTAAAATTCCAACAATGGTTGTGCCTGTCCTCTCTTAAATCTTGTTTACAAGTGTAAATGTCAGCTTAAAAGGTCTGTCATCGTTCATCTATATACAGACGTCAACAAGTCTGCACTCTCTCAGTTCTTAACAAGCTGTTAACTAAACCTAATGACCTGTCAATAAAACATCAAAGACAACATCCAGATGTCCCATACTGATATTTTTTTTTCTCCCTGTGGTTTAACCTGGTGTCTGAACCCACAAATAAACAGACTGTAATCACTGACACCATAAAACTTCAATTAAAAGCCTAATCCCAAATAATTGCTCAGTCCCTTTTATAAGCCCAGCGTAGCTACACATTTTGACAAATAAACACCTGACTCATTTAGAAGCCTGGTCTGGTTGCCATGAAGTTCTTTTTTTTTTTTTAATAGAAGTTTTGCGGATATATAAAAGCAGGTTGTTGGCCACCTCAAATTATGTGTCCATTCCTTGATTACCCTGTAAATTATTCATGTCCCTTTCATCCATAAGGGTCCTCAGATCAAAAGAATCAAAGGGGATTTTCATTAAAATTTGTGTGAAAGGAGTCAAAGGCCTCTCCCATATACTACACACCTGTCCCAAATATAGGCCCATTAATGTTAGTGATTTAAACAAATAATGGCCCCATGTATTAATTGAAGTTTTACAGTACGTATCGTCAAAGTTACTATTTTAGTTGTCTTGTAAGTAGGCCTACTTGGAGATAGTCACTATGACCACTGCTCACACTGTTACATGTACAGTACTGTATGTGTATTGTAAGTTTTAAAAGCAATGGCTCTGACCATGACCAGTGAAGTGTCATCTTATTATTTTACCACTATGATGTACTATTTTGGCACATCATTTTAAAAGAAACAAGATTTGACAGATCCTAACCATCACCTTATTCCCGATCGAGAATTGATACAGATACAAATTTGACTTAAGTGTTCAATACAGGTATATTTTTAAACATATTAATCATGGTTGTGTAAATGTAATTTATGATTTTTACTTGCGACTTGAAAAGAATGACTAAGAATGGTCCTTGATTACAGATTTTAGTCTAAAGTCCAGAGTTTTGGCTAAAGTGCCTCTACCCTTAGAATTAGAAATTATGCCTCTATTGTGTGAGACGTTCAGTGACTTATCTTTCTACAGAGGAGTGGATGGGAACAGGAGGGGGGCTCGGTCAGGGACGAAAGCTGCCACCACTAACTTCACCTGCCAGGACATCAGCCAGCAAAATTTAATTGCAATAGCCAGGTTATAACCAGAAGAAGGCAGTCTGTATGCATATTTCAAGCAGTTCTCATTCCCAGGCCAAATACCAATTTGTCAGTCCCCTCATCCTCTCAGGGGGATATATAGGGCTCCCTTTAGTGTCCCTTTGAGATGCACAGCTGACACACATTGTAACACATGGTTAATAATGTGTAAATTACTTGGTTAGATTTAGAAAAAAGAAAATTTTGGGTTAAAATAAGCACATCTGTTACGCAACAATAATGTAACATGATGTTAATACGTCACTTGAGTGATGTCAGTGCACGATGACCTAAATGAAATAAGGTTACATTTAAATAACATTGATGTAGGTGAGTGACATAACATTACATTAAAACAACATTCACAAGGGACACAGACTACAGTCTCGTGGGTCAAAGTCTTGTTTGGTTTGAGCCTACCACCTCTTCTGCCTGTCCTATGCAAACTCTCTCACTCTATATTCCATATCAGTTACTCTCAGTGTCAAGTGCTGGGTTTACACTGGAGTTAGTTTAAAGCCTGGTGCATAGAGAGCTAAAGGGTGCCTTTGGCGTCAATATCACACTCAAAGGGGCACGACAGTGCGTCAGTATTTGACGCTCTGGGAATGAGAACAGGCTGCACATTCATGACACAATATGTAGAATTCAAAAATGAAAAAACTAGTTTAGGGGGTTATCTCAAGGCAACTGAACCAAACGCAACTGGACTTAGTTTTGTCTTAGAAGACGTTTCACCTCTTATCCAAGAGGCTTCATCAGTTCATGCTTGTCTGACTAGGCTGGAACTAGTCTGACAAACTGATGTGGAAGCACCCAGGTATTTAACCTCTGAGAAGGTCTTCACAAGGCCAGTGATGTCACTGGTTCGTTAGTACTCCAATGGTGTGTCAACAGTGGTCCTTGGAGTCGTTAGAGTCACATGACACCATTTATGAACGGCCATTGTTTTTACAGGTTAAGCTGTTAAATCTCCTGGGCAAGGATGAAAGGACAGCATTATAGGTGGGGGAAAGGTGGTGTCGCAGACCTCCTCTTCTATTGAGAGATGGTTTTTCCAATTTCACATCATTGGCGTTGTGAGGACCTCTCCAGAGGTTAAATACCTGGGTCTTTCCACACTAGTTCAGTCAGACTAGTTCCAGCCTAGTCAGACAAGCATGAACTGATGAAGCCTCTTGGATAAGAGGTGAAACGTCTTCTAAGACAAAACTAAGCCCAGTTGCGTTCGATTCAATTGCCTTGAGATAACTATGACCTGGAAAAATAAGAATATCCACAGGCATCTGGGGGTTTAGTTACTCTTTAAGTGCTTTGAATTATTCCTATCAGATTTGTTGGAATTTAATTAACTACTACCACATTTCTTTCTTTCTTTCTTTGAGTCATTATCAAAAATCAAAACAAACACATCATTTTCTTTCAGTAAACACCTTTTTTATTTGGTTTGGTAGCAAAAACAGCACCTCAGGACAACAGTATGATGTGGGCAGCCTCCTAAGGGGTCGAACAGTTTCAGTTACAGGACACGCATAGGGAAGACATGCACTACCTACTGCAGCAGGCAATTTTAAGACATTAGTTGACCAACAACGCTGAAGCACTGTTTCAGTACATTCACATTCCTTTGACAACACCGCTGTCTATGCAACGCCATTTGGAGGAAATAGCCCTTCATGTATGGAATAGCTGTTGCAGAAATTTCAAGGGAGTGTTACATATTTATATGTTTCTTTTCTGTAGTTGCAATTTGCCCAGTTTTTATCTCACTTTCTGAGACAAAACTACTTTTTTAGTTCAGACAGTCAGACATCAAACATATATAATAAATTCTTTGGTCCCTTTCAGATCTTTGGTAGTGTTAGGATCATTTATTGCTTCATGAAAAACGAGTGGCTGGCAAGCATTTTACTTCATATTTGGGGAGGGGGGGGTGAACAGTAAGTATAAAACTACCAGAGAGAGTAGATCATAGCAGACAGGTTGCTACACCTCTAAACTAGACAGCTCAATCCTCAACAATTTCAGAAGACTCAGACACCACTCTGCCATCCTTCGTCTCAATCATCTTGATAACAACGTTCTTCTTGGTCTGGGTAGTAGTGGTGTAGCCGCCAGAGCTACCGCCACTGAAGCCGGTCATGCCACTACTGCCATATCCACTACCATATCCACCACCGCTACCATATGCACTGCCGCCATATCCGCTGCTTACACTGCTGGAGTAGCTGCTCTTAATGCTGTCCATGGGAAAACCACCGTAGCTCGCTGTTAAGAGAAGATAGGTTGGAAAAAACGGTTAAATGAGCATAAGCGTGGAATCTGTTCAAGCTAAAAAACATCTAACACAATCCAATCAATGAGGAAGTTTTGTTATGATTTAAGTCAAGACAAAGACAAAGAAGGCGAGGTTGATGAAGATGACTTACTGCTCTGTTGGGAGATGTTGATTGCCTTGATACCAGTCGCCAGCCTGTCCTCCTCTCCCTCCAGCAGTTTCCTGTAGGTGGCGATTTCAATGTCTAGAGCCAGCTTGACGTTCATCAGGTCCTGGTATTCTCTGATCTGGCGAGCCATGTCCTGTTTGGCTCTCTGCAGGGCTTCTTCCAGATCCCTAATGCGGGACTTGGCGTCCTTCACTGCCATCTCACCGCGCTCCTCAGCCTCAGCGATCTGAGCCTCCAGATTGGCACGCTGTGAGGAGATTTTTTTTTTTAAAAAATAAGGCTTTGTCCACTCTCCTGATTGTTACATGACACACAAACTATATGATGGCTATGACTTTTATCCATACCTGTCCCTTGACGGCATCAATCTCTGATGTCAGCCTCTGGATCATGCGGTTAAGGTCTGCGATCTCTGTCCTGGTAGACCTCAGGTCATCTCCGTATCTGCTGGCGGATGTCTGCATCTCCTCATACTAAATAAACATCAACAATACAAGACATTACAAACTAGAACACCTCTTGATCAGAACATTACATGTTTAAACAATGCTCGTGGCAAGTAGGGTTGGCAACACACGCCCTATATACCTTTCTAAATAAATAACAGAAATATTAACTATTAAATTCAAAAGGAGTTCTCAGTTACCTTGGTCTTGTACCATGTCTCTGCCTCGGCGCGGGTGCGGTTGGCGATGTCCTCATACTGAGCCCTGACTTCAGCTACAATGGCGTCCATGTCCAGGTTGCGGCTGTTGTCCATCTCCACAATAACTGAAGTGTCCTTGATCTGGCTCTGGAGCTCACGCAGTTCCTGAAGAAGCACAAAAAAAAAAAAACAGAAGAGGAGAGAGGTTAGTAAATCCCACCTCACTGAGGACACCCATCCAGCTAATGTCCTTTTGTGGATGGCACAAGAGGCAAGATGCTGAAGAGATTCTGAGAAAAAAAAAATATGAAAACAAAGACAGCCATTGAGCTGATTTTGTGTCGTACCTCCTCATAGATTGACCTGAGGAAGTTGATCTCATCTGTCAGACTCTCCAGCTTGGCCTCCAGCTCAACCTTATTCATGTAGGCCTCATCGACATCCTGGAACCATTAAAAGATGGTTGTTAGAATGAGACATCACAAAAGCTAACACTGTCTTCATGTACAGAGGTATCAAAAGAGGTTATCAAATGATTGCATCTCAAAGACAAATTGACTGAATGCTAATGCTGACCTTCTTGATGAGGACAAAGTCATTCTCACACTCTGTGCGCTTGTTGATCTCATCTTCATACCTGAAAGAAAAAATACACACAGTTCATGCTTTTGAATATTCATAAAGAGTCTCATCTCATGACCCTGTTCTGTTCAGTTTTGAGAGGTTATGCATTAATATAACACTAGGAGGCGCTGGCAGTCCATCCCTAACTCTTGAACTCCTCCAGGACATTTTCCCCACAGTCTGTTAACTCTGGGCCAAGCGTGAAAGCTGTTGCTGATATTTCTCCCTTGGGGCTCCTCTGAACTCGACTGACATGTTTCATCTGTCTGTGGACAACTGACACATATGTGTGCCACAATTGTAGTGTTACAGATGTGTATGTCAACACGCAAACATTAGGGCTCGTGCCCTCTTACGTAAAGCTATAGACAGCCAACTCTGTAAAATGACTTTTACCTCCAGTCATATGTAATGTAATGGGTGTTCTGAACATGCTTCCTCAGTGCTGTAATTCCCTAGATTTTGTATGATGCAAGAGAATGGACAGATGCAGGGAGTAGTCCACAAAAAGATTAACTCAGTGTGCTGCAAGGCTAGACTTGAAGCACAATGCAGCCTTGAACTCTTAAATTCAGCTGTATTTCATTTGTGCATGAAGTTTTTATGCATTTTGAAAATCATCCACTGCAACCTAAATGAGAAAGATGAATCCCAGATACGCTTCTTTACATGACAGAACACCGTTAGCTCTCATTGCCCCCTCCACACTCACTTGTTCTTGAAGTCCTCCACCAGGCCCTGCATGTTGTGCAGGTCAGCCTCCAGCTTCATCTTGTCGTTGCCCAGGCTGTCGAGCTGTCTGCGCAGGTTGGCGATGTAGGCCTCGAACATGGCGTCGATGTTGGAACGGGTGGTGGTCTGTCCCTGCAGCAGGTTCCACTTGGTCTCCAGCATTTTGTTCTGCTGCTCCAGGAAGCGGACCTGATGTGTAGAGAAAGACGCAAAAAGAAAGGCGAAAATATACAATTATTTATTAGCAACTAATCAAGAAACCTTTACAAAGAATCAGCAACTTACATGCTAGTTTACTGCAACGGATATTTGAAGACAGATTCCTTGTCATCAGTTATGAATTCATATGAAATTGCCTTTAAAAGTACAATACAGCTGAAATCTGCTCTTCACAAACAAAACAATATCCTATCTGGGTTATCATCCTCACACTCAATCATCTGAATCACCATCGCCATGCCTCCTCTACACTCTTTGTTGTTCTTATCTAATGTTGGAGCTTTGTTAGCTGCTGTTGGCAGAGTTTCCAGACTGGCCGGGCTTTTCCAAAGGAAGGCCTGACATACGTACATCCTGACAGGAGGTAGAGGGGGGTGAGAACAAAACTAGGTTGGAAAAAAAGCTGGCGATGGAGGAATGGGGCTAGTTAACCCTTCTCCCGCATGTCTTCCTGTTTTTGTATGGCAAGGCTCCAAAGAGGACGAATGCAGGGAGAGAAGGGGGTGAAACGTAGTTGCATCCGCAGCCTGATGCAGAAAGGTAAATATTTAACTGTGATAGAGATGTGATGAGGGGAGAGCAGGGAGTAAAAAGGAGCTGGAGGGGGGAGTGAGGGTGATGTATTAGCTGAAGAGAAGGGAGGGCAGAAGTGAAGGTGGAAGATGAAAAGGTGGGGAGTTTGCATATTTGTGAACAGTAAAAGCAAGGTTGTGAAAGCAGCTATGTGACCCAATGGACCTTGCTCTGATACACTGCACTCTCCAGGTGAGATCTAACCTTTCCTGGTCTTCATTTGAACTGGAGTAAACACAGATAATAAAGTGCCTTCAAATGGACTGCCTTCACAAGATAGCAGATGATAGGATGGAATTTTATCTGCTTTGTGTTAAAGCATGCAAACTGCACTTTATCTTCCTTTAATCATTGTGCCAGGAGGAGAGCTGACATGTAGCCAATCAGCTGGCATTGACCAGAACATGAAACTACTGGCCTTTTTAAATATTAACCCACTGCTGAGGCCCCAGGGGACAGATACACTCCTGAGTGTTAGATACTGGACTTAAATGCTGATTTGAATGATTAAAAATCAGCACACTCCCAATGGACACTCCTTTTAAAATGTGCCACGATGAAAGGAGGTTTTGTTATTAAGGTAACAATAGCACTCAGTGCTGACTGAGTGTGTATGTGTGTGTTTGAGAGGGGTGGGGGCCACCAGGGCAGCAGAAAGAGCCACACCCCAGCTATGGGAGGGCCCATTCCCAAGGTAACTCGTATCACAAGCCCTGAGCTCTGCCTGGACACACCCTTAGCTTTCTCTCTCTCTTTCTCTCTCTTTGTCTTTCTCAGTCTCTCCTTTCTGCAAGTCTGTTTTTCATCACTATAAAAGGGCAGCCTGAGCCAAAAGATAGAGAGCCTAACCCTAAGTTTGAGCTACAGCACATTTTTTTCCTGCTTGAGTGCATTCGTGGGAGGTGACGAAAGCAGAGGAGGGAATAAATCAACTTTTGCCACACAGCAAAAGTGAGGAAATCAGCATTACATAACATGTGGCAAACATATGGAGCACTATATCAAATATTGCATAATAATGTCACAGCACTGTAAAGCTTTTTGACTACACTGTGACTGAGCTTTCCATGCACCTAAAGCAGTTTCTGTCTGTTTGAAGAGAAGCATAAGGTAAAGATCAGTGCCTTGGCAACCTGATATTTTTTCGCACACACACATTGTGTCTGTTACTAGCTCTTACCTTGTCGATGAAGGAGGCAAAGCGGTTGTTGAGGGTCTTGATCTGCTCCTTCTCCTGGGTGCGGACAGCTTGAATAGTGGGGTCAATCTCAAGGTTCAGTGGGGCCAGCAGGCTCTTGTTCACAGTCACGGCAGTGATAGGGGTATGGACACTCATGCCACCACCAAAGCCACCACCCATGCCCATGCCCCCACTACCCATGCTTGAGCTCAGGCCATAGGAAGTGGAGCTGGTGATGCCACCTCCATAGGCCCTGGTGGGTCCTCCAAAGGAACTCTTGACGCTGTAGCTCTTGCGGGAGGTGATACTGCTTGGTCCAGCGTAGGAACTGCTGCTGAAGGTCCGTGGGGCGTTGGAACTCCTCACAGTGTAAGAGGTGGTCTTATAAGAACTGGCCATTCTGAAATCTAATGTGTTTTTCTCTGTTGGATGAATGAAGTCTGGTAAGGTCAGAGCGAATGGCTCGGATGGCGAGGCAGGCTGGCAGGCAGAGGGGAGAGACCAGAGTGGATAGAAAAGGCAGGAATGACTGAGGAGTTTTAAAGCCTGTGGCTGTGGGAGGGGACTGTGGTGAGCTGCCATTGGCTGCATGTCTGGGTGAGATAGGGAGGCAGGGCTGTAACATTACACTTCTATGACACATTGTCCAGTCACTCAAAACCATTACCTGGTCTCTCTCTACAGGCTTTTCTGTGTTGTTAGAGAAAACTTTTGGGAGGATTGACTAGTGGTTATATTTCTGAGCTTTGATGTGTGTGTAACTCTGCAGGTAAACCTACTCAAACACACCACAGCTGATTCAACATGTAAGATCTGGATTACTGTTTGACTTAAGAAAAAAAGATCATTTATATCCAGCAGCAGCTACGTATCAGGAAAACTGCAGTGCGTGTTTGTGTGTGTGTGTGTGTGTGTGTGTGTGTGTGTGCTTGTTTGTGCGGGGGTGGGTTGGTTGATGGGTGGTTGATAAGAATTCGGTAGCTCTTACACATCAGTCTCTTACACATCAATGCTGGTTTATATCTATTTAGGCGTGTTTATAATTCACTGGTAAGGTGTGTGTGTGTGTGTGTGTGCGTGTGTGTGTAAGGAGGGAGTGATGATTTTCTTTTGAAACGACCAACAATTTTTGTAAATTTGGCAACACCAGATCCATTCGGCAACCATTTTCTTCCCCTCACCATTGTTTCTACTGTTTGGAGGAGTTTTCACCAGCACTTAATTCATACTTATTTCTCAGTTCGTAATTATGTGTACTACATTACTGTACAACCTGTTTACATTAAGGTTTATACATTTCATTTCACTGTGCTCCTGTCTACAACTGCACTACATTCTTTTTTATTTTACATTGTACATTATATTATGGCTTATTTCTGCATTTTAGCTGCTGCACTTCTTTATGTCTTACATTTTAATAAGATTTTATTGACGTGAGGGTTTTTGTTTTTTTTTTCTTACATATTTGTATAATCATTGCTGGAGGGAACCTGAAATCTAAGAATTTCATTTCCCTCTTATCCCTCAGCTGACATACTGAAATAGACAGGAAGTCAGCACAACACAGGGTAAAAAACAAAACAAATTGCCATTTATAAAATCAGTCTCTATATAACTTGTTAATTAGTGAGTTTTAAGGATGTTAGTAGCATAATATTTATTACCATTCCACCTGTAACCAGTCTTTATGCTAGGGTTAGCTCACCGGCTGCTTCTTCATACTTAAATATGTACTCTGCAGGATTTTCCTAAAAAACAATGTATAGACTCATACAGACTTAATCCTTCTCAATTATTAGCCTACTTATGACCCACTAGAAGTGTGTGGGGTCTTCAGCAGGACCTCAAGGTAGCCACAATGTGCCAGACCGTAAGCAGCAGGCAACCAAGAGACGCAACGCCAAATAAATGCAAATACAACGAGGCGAAACGCCAAACAAGAGCAAATCTGGCATTGCCTTTTACTTTAATTTTTGCAGGTGAGTGTATTTAAAAACAGTAACCTACAATCCTGCATAGTAAAGGCCTACCCTCAATGGTAGCGATCTTCTCATCTAACTCTTGGCAAAAGTGCAAATGAGCGCATTTCCCAACTGTCAAACTGTTGCTTTAATCCAGACCATTTAAGTGTTCATAAATACTGTGTGGAAAATCAGCCAGATGTGATATAACAAATGATGGTTCCTTTAGCTGGGTCAGACTCAACTGACTGATCCTAGGTTGTGACCCTTAAAGGAGCTATATGTAAGAAATCTAAAGCAAATAGTCGTAAAATCCTCCTAATATGTCACAGAGACTAAGGAATAATGTTCATGTAACATACTGATCTCACCGACAACAATAGTACAGCCAGAATATTCGCATTTAAAAAAAAAAATTTACGGTCCGCAAATCATGTTTATGTTTTGAATTTGTGTTTTGGCCTGTTGCGCCACCCACCGCCGTTTACCAGTCAAGCAGTCAGTAGAGCCTCAGCATTGGCAAGCAGCACTAGCAGTGTCCCAGTACATAGCATTAGCAGCCGGCTCCTCAGCTGTATCCCGGCAGCAGCGTTAGCAGCAGAGAAGCCGGACTTGCTTGAACGGTCCGCTGGAAAACCGAAGATCAAGGACGCGGCAGCCGCCCGTGGGCAAACAAATCAGTCTCCAGCGTGCCGCTGTCCAGCAACCTCGAATCTGTAGGGGAGGGGGGGGCGGACACGACTCGCAGCAGTATTTTGAATTTGAGTGCAGTGTCCGTTTTGGCCACATTCTTACATACAGTGCCTTTAAGTTACTGTTACAGGGTTGGACAAGCTTGACATAAAGAAGCATGATGATGCAGCTTCTGTTTAGTCCGGTGGCACAGTGTGTATTAGATATGCTAGATAGTTTCTATAACTTCAAGAAGCTGACAACAAGGACTAAATATGCATTGGAAGGATACATTCAGGATGGGATGCTTGAAGTTGTGTGGCCATGAATAACGACTGACCAGACAAAGGCCCTGAGGCCCAAAGACAAAAAGAGGCTAACAACTATAGAGTGTGTGGAGTGTCTTGCTCCAATGTGTGTGCTTTTGCATATCTGTGCCAATGGGACAATGGACAATCCGCCCCTGTGTGTTGGACATCTAAACATAAAACACCAACAGTTACTTTGGGACAGCACCTAGCCTTACAGAGATAATATAAACAAAAGATTGTTAACCTTGATCTGGCTGTAACAGTGATTCATGTCATCTGTGTCGTAAAAATATGTCAGTAGCCGACCCATCTGTCCTTTTCTAAATCTCTTTAATGTTACTACAGAAAATAGGAGGAAACAAACGTGGCTGATGTTGGTGATCTGACCAGCCTAACTGCTATTGATGGAGCTGTACGTTACCAAGCTAATTAGTTAGCGATTTGCCAACATGAGGTAACTTAAGATGTGACTATGTGCAATGTAATGTGTTGGGTGTCCCTAGCCCTGTCCTAGTCCCTAGCTAACACATAGCATACTAATACATAGTAATACAGGAAAGGGCAAGTTGACTGAGTATCTGCCAGGTACCATGCTCAACCTGTTATTGGAGCACAGAGCTCTGTTGGTTCTCCTAAAACACCACTAATAAAGAGATTATGGTGCTGAGAAGCACTTGGGAAATCAAACAGTTGACATGCACGTATTTCAATACTCAAGGGCCTTTAAAACAGAAGTGTAAACGTTATTACAGCAAAATGCAGTAAGACATTTTGTATGAGTGTTCGCAGTTTTGGATGCTTTAGGGCTCAAAATTCTTTGGCTGCTGCAGGCAACTGCAACCCCTAGTCTTGTTCTGAATGCAACCCATTCCCCATACACTCTTTTATATGCTTGTATTTGCAAACCAGGTGAACTGCTCTAACCAGCTGGCTTTCATTCAGTCAAACAAGAGGTATGATAGGTCAACGCCATTGAGCCTAAGGCCTTTAAAAACACAAGACAAAGTTTATTTAAACTTCTATACAACTGTCTGCTTATGTGTGAGTGTCTATCTGTCTGCATGACCTGCAGCTCAGTTAACAGAGCTGTGATGCATTATTAGTCTCTATAAACACCTCTCCATAATTCATAACTGATGCTTATTCCCGAGGGAACTACTCACTGTGTAAACATCGGTAAAGAATTCTTACACCACACTGATAACGGAGCCACTATTCCTGCCTGCGCTGGAACTTAACCATGTTTCCCACCATGCTGCAGTACGAAACTACAGCAGCATACATGGCGGCTCAACCTTCAACTGTCCTTCCACCAATACCGGCCCTGCATTCTTCTCCTCCCCCATTCATTTCCTCCTCCAGTCCCTCACCACGATGAGTCATGAGTCTTGGCATTACCAATCCAACCCCCTTCACCATATCCTCTCTCCTCCATCTTCTCCAACCTTCTTCCTTTCCCGCCAGTGCCTCTTGGCCTCATTATTATCATGGAAACTCAACCAAAATAAAAGAGACTCCCATCATCTTCCAGCCAAAATGGATGCCCGCCCAAGAGCGGGGCATTTGCGGCTGCCAGTGCACAGAGTTGCAACGCGCAGAGGGACTGACTCAAAAGAACATGTGGCAATATTGATATGATATTGTGAATCTGAGTTTTAGCTTTCGCCACATAGGAAAAATAAAGTACAAGAATAAACAGCGCCAAAGGGGAACTCCCGCATGGCTTTGTGAAATGCGTGGCTGCAGTGAAACCATGGTGATCATACAGTGTGTTGTCACCTGGTTTTAAATCATGTGGGATGTTGATCCAAAAACCCACAGAAACACGAGCAGATTTTTCTCAGAGCGTTTCACAGTTAATTGAATTTCAGTGATTCCGCCATGTGAATTATGAAACATGCTTTAGTTGATCATATGACTCCAATTGAGCTAAACTGCTGTTAACAAACTAATTAAGTTAAGTTACACCACAGTTTTTGCATTTATAAAGGGTGCAATCAACAAGAGTAAAGCACATACAGATTAAGCTTGCAATAATTTTTCCGAACTGGACAGTGTGGCACCACATTTTCCATTATTAATTTTCTCTGATGCACCTCATTTATCAGCAGTAGAATTTCTTGCTGCTCCAGTTTTGTGGGGCTTTTTTTTGTTTCCATGACAGCCACTCTCCTTTTATTTAATCCCTCTTTATTTATTTATATATTTAGATCGTTATTCATTTTACTTCTGTTTTTCAGAATAACATCATTACAACATTTTTTTAAAGAATGAACAAGATGGCAGATGATAATGACGATTAGCTATTCCTGCTCGGAGCATACATGTGATCACTTGAGAGATGATCTCAATGCCACACAGTGCTGTTTTTCACCTGTATTTCTGTATACGGAGTAGGCCCTTAGTGTTTGGTGCAATGGACTGCATCTCTTTATGGATTTATAAAAATGCATTTTTCAACATCCATTCTTGTGAATTACGTGCAACCAGACCAATAATTTATGGCGACAAATAAGTGAGGAGATTAGCCTGTCAGGTTTGCAGCCAGGAGTGTGAAATATGTTTTTAATA